GCTTTCTATATTCTTTTTCTATTCTATCTACTTGTTTTAATTGTTTTTGTTTTCTTTGTATTTGTGTGTGTGTGTGTTATATATATGTGTGTATATAAAAAAACATTAAAAATAAAAAAATAACCTTGCTACATGTACTGCATTGGGCTAACTGAGACTTGTCATAGCACTTGCATTTTATTGTTCTTTTGTTTGTTTTGATTGCTTCTATTGTCCTCATTTGTAAAAGCGTCTGCTAAATGACTAAATGTAAATGTAAATATGTACAGTCAATGCAAAATGTATTCAGACACCTTCAACATTTTTCACATTATCACAGTTTATTTGCTATTGTTTAGAAAACGGTGAAACATGCCAGCAAAACACGGTCAGGTCAAAGTGTCTGAATAATTTTTGGAACTAGTTTTACTGGTAGTCCACTGTATGAAGAATTTTTGGGTATAATATGTCACAGTTCATTTTATTTTTCTATCCTCACTTACATAAATGAACTATAGTGTCCTGCACCCACTAGTAAAAAAAAATGTCAAAAATGACATCTGGAGTCTGAATAATTTTTGGTTTGAGATTATCATATAGGGGCTGTCAGCCTTTCAGTTTAATTTCATTGTCCATATCTCTTGTTTAGAAGGTTTGAAATATACATACAGTGATGCAGCAAAGACAGATTCTACATTTTATCATCTTTCTCAGTCTCATCTCTGAATGAATTCCATGTGTTTGTGTCCTGACTGATGACATTCACACCTGGTGCAGCAGGCAAATCTTATGAGCACCTGTTGACGCTTTCCTACCCATCAGTGTATCTCGCGCTTCAGAAACCGGGAAGCCTGGTAGCCGCTTCTCCCAAAATAGTGACAGATCCGGCAGCCTTGAACGGTTGAAGCGCATAGGTGTTGATTATGTCACCTCATTTACCGGCGTGAAGAATCTGAGATTCGTCCTTCTCTGCCTACTTCAAGCGTGGGCTGACAGTTTCTGTCATAACCTCAGGCCAATGCTAGTGACACACTCATAACTCAGAATTGGGAATCTGAAATTTGCTTTTCTCTTGAACAAGCTGAAACATCTTGAGACTTTGTTATACAGTGATAATAGTGACAGATCCGGCAGCCTTGAACGGTTGAAGCGCATAGGTGTTGATTATGTCACCTCATTTACCGGCGTGAAGAATCTGAGATTCGTCCTTCTCTGCCTACTTCAAGCGTGGGCTGACAGTTTCTGTCATAACCTCAGGCCAATGAGTAGTGACACACTCATAACTCAGAATTGGGAATCTGAAATTTGCTTTTCTCTTGAACAAGCTGAAACATCTTGAGACTTTGTTATACAGTGATAAAAAAAAGTGTTCATATATCTCTGAGAAAGTTTACTTTACTTCTAAAGTCAGTTGTTAAGTTTACCTGTTTACACAAACACTGAAAGCTCTGTCATGCATGCATAAGAATGCTAAATGTTAAGGAAAGAAAGCAAGAGGCAAAACAGATGGCCTGAGAAGTATTAATGTGTGCAGTGGTTTACTAAAGCCGAACTTGTAATCACTGTTACATAAACTGCTCACTGTCTGGTCCTCTGTAGATGCACAGCCTGACAGCTAACAGTTAGCGTTACCAATGCAATAAGCTAAAATATTCAGAAAAGTGTTGATTTTGATCAGATGCACAAAATGTGCATGCATGCATTAGAACAGAATGCATTGCTTTGCATATGTGAGACTTTAATTAGAAGTATCTGAAAGCATTGGCTTTGACAGTGTAACTGTTAAGACCAAGTAAATGAGGAAGAGTGTAACACAGTCAGTCAAAGATCAGGTACAATGTTTCTTCTAACTCAAGAATGGTGAACACACAGCATGAAAACATTCATTTATATCTCAACATATCCAAACAAAAGTTATTCTGAGCAACATTGAGTACAAATAGTTGCAAAAAGTCAAAGCACTGAAAACAAAAACGGTTTTGGAGCAAGGATGTGACTACATTTTACTAACATTTCAAGAAATGGCATACATTTGTCAAAGTCTCATGACCACCATTTTGCAATTCATCATGTTTATTTTTTGTTGTTTTTGTGTTAAAGAAATTGAGAAGTGCGATAATTACTGTCCAAAATTACTCAACTGTACTGTAATAAACAGAGAATGCACAGATGGCCTGAGAAGTATTAATGTGTGCAGTGGTTTACTAAAGCCGGACTTGTAATCACTGTTACATAAACTGCTCACTGTCTGCTCCCCTGTAGATGCACAGCCTGACAGCTAACAGTAGCATCACCAATGCACACTATCAGAAAGCCAGTTGGCATATTTTCTTGGCATACTACGCACTAAGCATTTCCCAGCCTTCTTTGTGTCAAAGGACAAAGGTTGCTGGTGCTAGTAGGAAGGATATAATAAGTTAAAATATGCATAAAAGTGTTATACACGCATGCATTAGAACAGAATCCATTAGAACGCGTGCATTGCTTTGCATATGTGAGACTTTAATTAGAAGTATCTGAAAGCATTGGCTTTGACAGTGTAACTGTTAAGACCAAGTAAATGAGGAAGAGTGTAACACAGTCAGTCAAAGATCAGGTACAATGATTCTTCTAACTCAAGAATGGTGAACATGCAGCATGAAAACATTCATTTATATCTCAACATATCCAAACAAAAGTTATTCTGAGCAACATTGAGTACAAATAGTTGCAAAAAGTCAAAGCACTGAAAACAAAAACGGTTTTGGAGGAAGGATGTGACTACATTTTACTAACATTTCAAGAAATGGCATACATTTGTCAAAGTCTCATGACCACCATTTTGCAATTCATCATGTTTATTTTTTGTTGTTTTTGTGTTAAAGAAATTGAGAAGTGCGATAATTACTGTCCAAAATTACTCAAATGTACTGTAATAAATGCATTTGTCAGAAACTTTTATATATTGTGCATTCAATGTAGGCTATACATTAATTGCACTATGTTAACAGAATAGCAGGACAATTGCGTCCACGTATTTTACTTATTTCACGCTTATTAAATACATTTTAGAGGTTTAACCTTGCACAGAAGATTATATGCATGCAACTATGATCGGTAATTATTATTTTTTTATGTATGCATGTTTGTATTTTTGTAAACAACATGTTGTGTTATGTCTAATATAATGATTAATCATGCAAAGGTTTCATCGTGTGTGGGGGTCTGTGTCTTCAAGAAGACCACCGCTGTTCACAACCCTCCAGTGCACGTGTTTGCTGTAAGAAACCTTTTTAAAAGCTGACTGCAGTCTCGTGGCTGTCCGTGGTGCTGAAGCGAAACGGGAAAAGTTATAGCCTACGAACCATGCATTAGAATTAATGCCACCCTATAAATGTGAATCATTTATGAGTTGCTGATTAGATGAAGGGTACGCTGTGCAAATAAAAAACTTTCCTGATGCACACGACGCCGTCTGCACAGTCACGTGCGGAACGTGCAGTGATACGCGAGATCCGACTTTCTTTGCTCAGGTTGTTCCAGGTTGGGAACACGGTGAATTTAAGAGACCAAGACATCGCATACCAGCGTGCTCTTTAAAACTTAAGAACTGAAAGTATTTGTGTTGCAGCTGTTGCTCGCATTGCGTCAGGTTAAAGTGGAACTACTAGGCTACGCGTCGTCATCTCTTGTTAAGCATGCACACGGACGCATAAACGTCAAGACGCCGTGGAGTTTGTATGAAAGCTGTCCTAATGTTTCAGATCGCCCCAGAATCGCTCTCTAACACCCAGCAGGCGGAGATCGATGCTCTCGACGTGGCCTCTATGAGCTGCGCTATTTTCCTCGTTAATGTCGCGTTTAAAACACCCTCCGGCTTTTAGTTTGTGTCCTCATACGCAAATGATCAGAAAAGCTCCTCTGCAGATGCGCTGTGAGGACTGCAGATCTTCCTTAAGCGTTTGATTTAGAAAAAAAAAAACAAATCATATTGTGCGATATTCCAGGCGGTGGGTGAGTCGGTGAGACGAGACTGCTTCGAGGTGATTTTGGGAAAGATTCGAGCCATTTTTTCGGTGAGAGATGCATGCATTTCACTTTATTTGGGTTGTGTGCGTGTGCATGCACTGCGGATTGGCATGCATATTGTTGCACGCATGTCTGGCATGCCTTTAACGTGGCAGCGCTCAACAATGTTGGTGTAATAATTAATAGCATGTTAATTGTGACGGAGACGACGCGCCGTGTATTATTGTTCTACCGCAACGCAAGAGAGCACGAAAGAGGCGAGATCCGGGCAAAATAAATAAATAAATGTAAGCGGATTTGATTTCCCAACCACTGAACGAGATTAAGTCGACAGCAGCGCAAGTGAAATTGTGCTGCATATAAAAATGGGACGGATTGGTCTTTCGATGTGAGATTGGTACCACCGCTAACACTATCGCCATGCACTCAAGCGATCTCGTTTAAACGACATAGCACCGGTGTGATGCTGTAGTAAAGCTGTATTCTTGTGGATTTGGGCTTGGTAGATGACTAATTTGCTGTAAACTGGGAAGAGTTTCGATGAGGAGTGCGCGAGAGCTGCGCGCTTGGCAGCATCAGCAGCAGCCTCGAGCTCAAATTCAGCACAGCTCACATCTCAGAGCATCGTCTCCTCGCATCCAGACAGAAAAGACGTGTTCAAAAGTTTGACGATAAGGTGCAATCGATTTAACGTAAGTGCTTGTGTCTTGGATATTGTAAAGACGGGGGTTAAGGGAGCACAACTGCATAAAGGTAGTGCCGTATTCCTGGAAACCTAAAATTGTGAGGTACTTTTATCTCTGCATGATGTTGGTGGTACGCATGATTGCTGTGCGCTTGGCGATGTGCGCACTGTTTGCTTAATTACTCCAATTGAATTACTACACGTTTAGGAGCAACCCCGAGGCGCACGCCCAATACTAATTGCGAGATACCTTACGACGTGCTTTTGACGATGCACTCTCGCGACAGAACTCAAAAGTGTGTACGGTAGGGATTGCGTAAGCATTATAATCCCTGGGAAAGTCGCGGAATTTTGCCCAAATATATCCCGTGCGATCTGAGTGTGGGCACCACGGAGAGAGCTTCGGCGAATGATCAAGGTTTTTGCATGGAGCTGTAAATCATGCTGTATGATGTTAATGCAGGATTAACGCGCCGATTGTGTGTGGAATGATTTGCGTTAATGCGTAGTGCTAACCAAGCTCCCTGTGTGTTTGTGTATAACGCTGATGCACATTCCTATATGTATATGAGCATGTATTAATATTCTTAAATGGGTAAGTGCGATTAAACATTGAGGATTTGCATAGTGGGTCTTGTGGCATATACGTAATGACAGTCGTATTGTGTCATGCAAAACTGTGATATTTGTTTACTCTTAATTCTGATCAGGTATATAATTGCTGCTGTAGTATTAATCTGCACTCTATGTAAACTGTAAAGGGGTCAGGACTACATCAAAGCACGGTATTCCTCCAGTAAATATGCTCAGGCTTTGAATTATATCTAGAAGGTTAAAAAGGGCACTTGTTAAACTGGCATAGGGTACTGTGCTTTCATAGGATTTGTGTTTAGATGATTAAATGCATTGTATGCAGTGTCTCACATTACTATATTGCGGATCAACAAATCACATAACAAATAGTAGTTGCGTGTGAACTAAGACCTACTTCTTTTGAGCATGTCTGTCTAAAAGTGTATTTTTAATTATATTACAAATGAAAATTGCATATGCTCCCTATAATCACAATGCTATGGTATGGGTATTGACAACCACATACCTCCGCTCCAGTAAGGTTTCTTTGAATGAATGTATTTTTTTTTCTTCTTTAGTGGGGATTCATCCTTTGGAGAATGATGTGGGGTGGAAGAGGAGCAGCTTGGCTTTGGATTTGGGCCTGTTTACTGGTGACCAGCGTTTTGGCTGGAAAAAGGTATGTTTACGCACCTGAGGTTGGTGCATATTTCACTCACATCTTGATTAACACATTCTCTGCTTTTGATAAAGAGCACTCTCTGTGCTGTAGCTACAGTAATGTTCAGTTTAATATGTGAGGACTTTGATCTAAATGTAAGTCTTTGATCTAAACCTACAATGTTAACTTAGACCAAGATCAGAACCTCAGACTTCAAAGAGGATGTCGTGCTAATGAAGCTTTCATTAAGGTTTTCATTCTGCAGTTTTTTCCTGCTATACTGCTTCGTGGAGTGCTATTCATTTATAGGTGTATTGTGCTGACATACATAAGAAAAAAACATATGTGTCTGTAATCCATAAGCAACATCAGTGAATTAGTTTCTTTAGACAAAAACATTTAGTAAGATATTTCTAAAAAATATATATATATATGTGCAGCCAAGCACTATTTTAAATGTTAGAACAAATGCAAAGGGTTGTAAACAAACATAAATATTTCTTTGGGAGGATTTGGCTTGAAAGACGTCTCAAGTTTTAATCTGAAGTGTAATATTAACTAATAAGTTTATATTTTCATGAACGCAGCTTGGATTCGTGTGTACTGTACGTGCAGCAGATTTACTTTGAAATGATTAGTTATAATAATACATAAAGATGTTCAGGGAATCATGCATTATATTCAATTATTTTACAAAAAGCATAGTTGTGAAATACTAATTGCAAAATGCCATGCAACATGTTTGTTGCTTTAGACATATTTTATGCGTTTAGACAGGTGACCGTCACAGTGATGTTGAAATACCCATGAATATTTTATAACAATACTTTTAAAATGCCATGGGCATACAGGGTGTCATTTGTAAGCTGTGCTGTGAGAGCACCGTGGCTCTGGACAGCATGCATTCGACACTGTTGCTGTTCAGATGACCTGCAGATGGGGTTGCTGTGCAATATTTAATGGGGATCTGTATGCTGCTCTAAGCACATGGATTTTGCAATGTGTTATTCATGTCTGCATGGTTCCTAAACGTGCCAAAATGTATATTTTGAGTTAATTATTACTAAATAAAAATTCCCTGAGCTCTGAATTATTGTGCATTTGTGAGAGGTAAGAGAGAAGATGTAATTTTGGGTCAGGCTGACATTACCAGCGTGCTGTGAGTGTTGCACTGGCATGCACGCGTAATATATGAGACTACGTTTTCCTCTCGTGACCCCTTTTCCTTGTCGCTCATGAGGTCTGTGTGTATGTGCGTCTCTCTGCGCAGATGGGGGAGGGTGGAAGCCTTCTCGTTTTATTTTTACTCTCGTTGTATTTTGAGCCAGAATCCAGTGAAAATGCCTCTATTTTGCTTTTTTTTTATTTTTTATTGTAGATCGAAAATAAAAACGGATCAGAATTTGATGGCAACAAAAATTGAGAGCATACCGCTCAAGTCTGCACGTTTTTACAAATCAGTATGATGTGAAAATGTTTGTATTAATTAAAGCAAGGAAATCTGACCTTTGTAGAAAGGAGTTAAAATGGTCAACATCGAAATTTGCTCGTTGGTGACCTAGAAATAGTAAAGTATTTTGTTGAAAATCACCAAAGTGCTCTCAGACTTTTGGACTCCACAGAGGAAATTCTGCTGGGAGACATTAAGACTGATTGAAATGAGTGCATGAAATGAGCAGAAAAAGCATGCACTGTTCTTCTCAGCGACAGCGAGCATATATCATCTGACAATTGAGCTTAAATTTTATTTAACTGCTTTGAATCAATAGTTGTCCATGTTGGTTTAGGGGAAGATTTATAGTGGAATTACCGGCAATGATACGAAACCACATGACACAACTTGCATTTCTCTCTCTTTTGGGGTCTGCCGCGTCTCTCCCTCTCTCTTTTCTCTGTTTGAAAACGTGTTCATGCTAACTAATCGCGATGACCTCATCCTCTCCTTGAAATCTGTTTCCATGCCAAGCTTATTTTTGAAACACCAAACAGTGTTTATTGAGTCTGCAGTCACATTTGTGGTCCGGTACCTGCCAGCGGGGAAATAATGCCAATGATTACCAAAAAAGCAAGCAATTATGTATGAACGACCAGCCGGTGATTGTTTTTAGAGGAGCACAAACTGGCTACCGTCCTCACAGGCTCTTATTCATGAAGTACCATTTTGCACTATATGATTAAACTGCATTTTGCTCATAAGCATTGTCTGAAATATTTATGAGCGACAGAGTTCATGGGTTTGTCTTTTAGGATTTGGCTTCGTGTTGCCAGAACTCATGCTTCTCATTTGCATCTAAAAGAGTATTTTAGCTAATTAATAATGCATTGTTCCTGTGTATATCCCCCTTTGCTCCTAAGACGGAAGGAGATTTGTTGTTTATCTGCAGGCTATTGCATTGCAAATTCTCTTTAAGCAGGGTGGATGTTACCCCGAGGAGGGTGTTGCTTTGATTTTTCACATCAGAGTGTGTTATAGCCACCCTTTGCTATGGGTTTTGAATAAAACGTCTGCTGTTTTGCATTGTCAGCTCCAGTCAAAGCGCAGATGAGCAGAAAGACAACACCACAGTTTTCACCAGGATTCTGGACAGCCTCCTCGATGGCTACGACAACCGTCTCAGGCCTGGACTCGGAGGTACGCGCAGAGAAGTTTCTCTGATGATTTCTCGCCTCGTACATTTGTGTCCCAGTTTTTTAGCCCTTTGGGAGATTTCTAAACTTACATCTTCAAACGGATGTAACAGCACTTTTTCTCGTAAGGAAAATAAATCAGTAACCAATAATGTTCCAATCGTTTTTTGTTCGGAAATAGGTTTATAAAGGAGTTCTTGTTACAGTATAAACTATTTTTGTCAGATGATAACCACAATGTTCAAAGTGTGTGTGTGTGTGTGTGTGTGTGTGTGTGTGTGTGTTTGTGTGTGAGTGAGTGTGTGTGTGTGTGTGTGTGTGTGTGTGTGTGTGTGTGTGAGAG